AACATTCAGATAACCTACAGAAATTGAAGGCAAGACATATGCAACATAGATATCTGGCTAGATATAATTAGCAAGGGACAGTTTACTGGAAGAGAAATAAGAATCTAAGATTAATGTCACATCATGTTACTCCTGATCTCAACACACACAAACAAAAAGCAAGGAAGCTAAATAGAAAGAGATTGTTAGATTGTAGCTAAATCAATTACTGTACACATGGAAATCAATCTTAAAAATTGTTTTTCAATTTTCTGTGTCACTTTATTCTATAGGAGATAAGGAATGACTGGTTCTGTGTGAAATATAGTGATGTGGGAGACCAAGAGTTCACAGAGTTGATACTTATTTCTGATATTGCTGACACTGGGGTTGAGTATGATTCCTCCTTAATCTTAGTGGCATTGAGTAAGCAAGATGGGATCTCCAATGCTAGAACATAAAAAAATATGTAAAGAGCACTAAGAATTGACAGATTCTATTAAATAAACAAACAAACAAATAGATAAAGTTTTGTATCTACTGCTGCTGGTGAGCTAATTCACCCCTCCAGCTTCATGGTGCAAATCTACAGTAATGTTACTAAGGAGAAAACATAGATGAGTACCATATGGTCACTAATTCATTCATCAGTGTATTAATTTCTAATAATTTCTGTATATACCTCCATTGTCAGTAATTTCATAGGAGCAGTGAAATGGGGAAAATCTAGTGCCATAAACAAAAAGGTTTCGTTGTTTTAAAAATAATTGAATTGTTCCCCCAAATGCTGTTTTGAATCATACTTTCCTACCATAGCAGGAAAACAGAAACAGTACACAGAAGATGCACAGACGAGACACAGTATTAAGTTCTGCCCATCTGGAGACATCAACTGAATTTTGAATATGATGATCTTGGTCACTTAAGGTAGAACTGTCACATCAGGCAAGAGGAACTGAAACTGGTGATTAGGGTGACAAGTGTTTGAGACATATATAGGAATGTGTTGAAGATAACAACTACATTAGCAGCAACTTACAACATAACTAAAATGTGCAAGATGTATCCCTTTCCTAAAAGAGTGCATGGAATCATTCAACCCCGTCATAGAAGGATCGATAAGTAACCCCTGTACCATCATCAATCATCACAGAGACAATACTGAGATGCTGACAGAATGAAAGAGAAAGGGAGGAGCATAGGGAAGGGAAAGAAGGGACAATTCAGAAACAGCATCTTAGTTAAATGCCAGCTGCAGTGACAAGAAAAGTAAAGAGCAACAGAAGAACAGGCTAAGAACAATTTTGCCCTTCAGAGAACAAAATGACACTGTTTAATTGCTCAGAAGGTTTTCAAAATGAGGTGTCTACCTCCAACAGAGTGAAGATTAATCTTCATGGAACAGTTTGTATGATGAGTTGTTAGACGTCAGGAAGTACAGTTTCAGATGAAGTACTTGATAGAATCAAATCAGTATTTTGAGCAAACCAGGGAAGTGAAATGTATTTACTGTGAATTAAAGTGATCCAGATTACTACACTGATGTCAGAGATTTCAAAACTCTATTATGGAGACATGTGACAGGCAAAAACCTTAATAGCTTCTTTGTTACCGTTCCTTCACGGATAACAGCATGAGTCATTATTAATCGGCTTCCTTTTCCTGTTCAGATTGCTGTGGGATTCTAGTTTAGTCTTCAAAAACTATGGGGAGATAAAAGTGCTTTTAATTGGTGTGAGCAGACAATGGATGGTAAGCATAGCATTCTGGAATTAAATTGTAGATATTCAGCCAAAGCTTAGAAAGACAAGTAAATTGAGTCTCTTGTGAGCATCAAGTCTTATATACATGTTCCTGAAAGCTACAGACATGCTGCAGTAAGCTAGCCCCACTGAAAACAACACATCTGGAAGAAATACTACTGCAACAGTGTGAGTGAGTGCCCATTGTGAATGCTCTTAGAATAACAGAATATTCTCAGTTGAAAGGGACCCACATAGATCATCAAGTCCACATCCTGGTTACACACAGCTCTGCTTAAATTGACCTCATTTGCTCCTCATACATTTTCTCCTCCAGACCCTTCATCATCCTTGTAATCCTCCTTTAGATACTCTTTACGTCCTTACGCTTTATGTCCTTCTTATATTGTTGTGCACAAACTGCACAGTGTTCAATGTGAGGACACAGAGCAAAGCAGGACAATCCTTTCCCTTGTCCAGTGGCAGTTCTGGCAACCAGGGTACGACTTGTCTTTTTGGCTGTTGTCGCATGTTCAACTTGCCATCAGCCAGAACCCCCAAGATACCTTTCCACAGAGTTGCTTTCAGATGCCCGTCCCTGTACATATATACCAAGTGCAGAATCCAGCACTTGCTCTTGTTAAACTTAATGCATCTGGTGACTGCCCAGTCCCACAGTCTGTCAAGGCCTCTCTATCTTCAGGAGAGTCAACAGCTCCTCTGTTTGCAGAATCACTTATAATTATTTTGTTAGCGTACAATACCCATATTTAAATTTTTGATTCAGATTTATAGAATTTCAATCTGTCACTCACCATGGTGATTTATTTCTTCAGGGCAGTAAAAACCCTTCTCCTCTCATCGACCCCTCCACCCATTATGGCCACCTTGGAGAAGAAAGGAGAGTTGCTGTTCCTGCCTTACCACTTCCCTCCTCCCTCTCAAGCCAAGTAACTTTAAGTGACAGTGCTCCAGGAAGAGGTTTGCTGATGTGGACTGAGACAGCATACTTATTCCAAAGAAGTGTTAAACATATTATAGTGCCAGCCAGGCAGTGATGTGCAGATCTGCTACCAGAAAAAGAAACAGCTCTATATCAGAATCCATATCTATATCAGAAAAACAATTAAAATGGCTATCTGCTCTTCTTAAAAGGAACGCTTACACAATTTTCCCACCTCCCTTCCTCATAAAAAATTTAGTGTAGTCCTCTAGTGTAACAATTCAACTTGATGCCTGGCTACATCTCAGTTTCCAGAGGAGATACAAGCACCTTGCAGTAAAAGTCACAGGGAAGCTGTGATATTGGTCCTATGCGCAGTAAAGCATAGGGATTTTCTTGGTTTCAGGGATTCCTTCATGGAATTCAAGGAGAATATTTAAAACAGGTTGATTACTGACTATTTAGAGAACACTTCTCTTTTCATACGAGATTTTCTTCAGATACAGTTAGCATTAACTAGGATTCTTCAAATCAAGATTAGCCTCTTGTAAACTAAAGGTTGGACAGCTCTGACAGGAGTTACTAACCAGAAAAGTAGAAGGATGACTATGAATGTGTACTGTAAGTTATGAATCCTTATACAAGGCTTTCCTAATAATTGCAGAGGGTAAAGTAAAGTATCTTCTCTGATTTTTGTTTTTTTTTATTTGATGGGGACATTATTTGCTTTCTCATATTACAAAGCAAGCACTTTAACTTTTTATATACAAACGTCTACTTTTTGAATGAAAACCCCTTGCATATATGCTCAGCAAGTGATCAAATGTGTGTAGTCTAAAACTAAATCTCAAAGCTACTAGATCACTATCTGCCCATTTTCTATTATTTTATAATGTTATCATTACTGTTTTTGAATGAGACAAATATTAATACCTGTGTACAGTTGCAGAGACACCAGGGTAAAAAGGTGTATATCTTTTGTCAGATGATGCAATGGCTCTTACTGATTACTTAATATATACTAAGTAAAAAAAAAATTACATCTGTTGTGGGAATGGATGAGGATAGTTGTCTTCAGATGGAAAGGCATAGGAGGAATCACCAAAAGAGCCAGAATGTTTCCAACAGGGTTTCAAAAGCATCTGCTTAAGACGACTCTAAGGATACTCAAGGTCAAACTCTAAACTTGAAAGAAATGCTTCTCCAGTGAGCCATAATCCTCATCTTACGATAACTCTCCTTATTCCACAGATTAAGGCCTAGATTGCTTTGATTATAGCTGAAATCTAACAGAAACTTTAGAAAAGGCTGTTAGGACCTATATTAAAATTCAAGGCATATCACTTCTTTTGTTGGAAGGAGCCCAGATGAACTGAGAGAAGAATAAGGAGGGATGGGACTGGAGGGGTGAAAGTGAAACAGTTTAACTATCTTCCAACAGTAAGATAAGCAAAACAATTAAAAGGATTGTTATCCTGTAATTACCAGAACACTCTATATTACAGAGGGAGCTGAAGCTTTGATGCACAACAAACAGTCATGCTTGTAATTTAGGATGAATAATGAGCCAGATGTATGAACAAGACTCTATTAAATTGTTATCACAAGCAGACGTGTCCCTCATTGATTAATGACTGTGTGGCACCAAGGAAAGGAACTCCATTTCCAAGTGTGGATCATCGTCATCAGTGTTGCCAACGCAACCATCTGTCTGCTTTTGACTTACCCCTGAATGTGGCAATTAAACCATTACATGTGGAAAGAAAACAGTGATTATTTGCTTATGTGCAAAACTGAGGGCTCTTAAAGAATAAAGAAAGCCAAATTTCCTTCCCAAAATAAATGCACCTGAGCAAAATCATATTCATTGCAGGGGAGCTGGATTAGATGACCTTTAAAGGTCCCTTCCAATTCTGAGAATTCTATGATTCTGTCATTTTATGATCAACGTCTCAGTTTGAAACCAGTCTCTTATTAAGTTTCAAATTTGGTGTTAATCATAAAGCCTTGGTAAGTTTCATATGCTAGCAGAAAGTCATCAGAGTCAATGTAAAGACACAAATAAAAAATCAGGTGTGAAAAATACTTACTTTATAGTAAATAAAATCAACGTGTAGAAGGCACATGTAAGAAAACACCTGAACACTCTTTAGACAGACAGTATTTATAAGGAAAGAATGCATGTGCATATACCCAATTAGATGAGCCTATAGCTCACATAGGACTCGTCCAAAATGTATGTCTGACCCTGGATTTTTTGTTTTGCTGTTGTTAATGTGAGATCTACACATAATATTCTACCGAGAGCAGGTACAACCTAGCTTCTTACAACTTACAAGCTTCACGGAGTTTTTCCTTGTCATAATGTAGCCCTTCATATTCTTGCAAATTAATCCGGTTCACTCTGATCCGCAGGCGATCAGGGATGGAATGAGGACTGCAAAAAAAAAAAAAAAAAAAAAAAGAAGAAGAAGAAGAAGAAAGCTTCTTAGACAAACTTTTCCATGGAAGAGTAGAAAATAAAATACAATATCAATTTTAACCTTTGCTAAAAGAATAATAAGAGCAAGCCTCTTCAAAACTGGGCCTGATCCTCACTGGCCCACCACTGTGTTTTTACAAGATCAGGACTACTGACACAGAATAGATGATGTATCTTAAATTACAAGCAAAATCAAGAAGCCTGTTTACTGTCTGGGTGACCTGGAATTGCAAAGGCTTTTCTGAGCTCGTCAATCTCTATATAGATATCCTTTCCCATTACAGATGCCTTTTTGTACATCCCTAAAGTAGGAAAATTCACAGAGCTTGGCTTCAGGGTGCTGATGCTTTCTTTGGAAGCCTCACAGGACTTCTTTTTCTCTGTCCACCAGCACATTCACTTGGATCTCCAGAGGATCCTCTTTCAGTAGCTCTGTTCCAGGGAGCAGGAAACAAAATGTTGTTGAGAGCTGGATTGCCAAACTAGAGTCCAATACACATATGCCAGAGAGACCATAAAAAGAACTTTGAGTACCTCGTTTCTACAGATTTCAGCCAGATTTATATGCCTTGGAGGTCTGCATACTTTTGAAACCTTTCATGGATTCCTATCCATAAATCTGAGTGGCCACTAACTGATAGACAGTTGTTTTGAAGAGCTTTGTTTTGATTTCATGCAAGTTTCCATCTTACTGTTACTGTTAGATTTTGTTTAACTGAATGCTATGTAAACTTGGCCACATTAGCATTTTCCACTTGTAAAGGGAGAAAGATAGCTTGTGTATTATAATATACATATAAAGTTTCTGTCTTGACAGGTTCATCCCACCTAAAATTATATTCTTCATTCTGAGTTTGCACCAAAATATTGTCTACTTTCACTTTGTTTTAATCTATTTAAAAACAGAGCTCTTAATGCACACAATGCCTTTTGAAAGTTAAAATTCTATGCACTGTCATAGACAAGCTTATCGTTTGCTTTATTTCAGTTTTAAAATATTTGACCCTCCGGATTGCCATTTTAACTGCCAATTCACACTCCAGAAATGTAATTCCTTTTTTTTTTTTTTTTTTTTTTCTTTTTTTTTTTTTTTTTTTTTACTTTCCAAGCAAGTAATTTTCTTTTTGGCCTGAAAATACTACAGACCTAACACATGGTTTGTAGAAGAGCCACAGAGATGATAATTACCATGTATTTCAGTTTCCTTATTGCATACTTTCTCTCTGTTGACATAAACGCTCTGCCACATATTGACAGATGAAAGTAAAGATTGAAAATCAAGTACCAGTATAAAAATAACTCTACTGACACAAGTACTTCTAGCCTAAAAATTGATAAAGGATAATGAATTAAGGGTGTCTCAGTAATTGAGGTCTAATGCAACAGGTTACAAGAAACTGCAGTCCTTCTGTTCTGAACATGAGTTTCTGTATTAAAATGAAAATTCATAAGGAATAACTTAGAATACATCATGAATGCTAACAGTGACTGCAAGACTGATGCATTCGGCAGTACATAGGCTGCTGTAGGTGTTTTCTGCAGTGATTAACAGGGACTATTGGGTAAAAGTACTCCAGGATACCAGCAAACTCTCTATATTTAAGGTAAGATTTTGCTTGACATGCAGGGTGATAACTTCCAGCAAAGCCTCAGGGAACAGCTTAGTAACTCATGTGCCATTAGGTCAGATCAGCACTCACTACCTGCAGTCTATAAAGCTGGCTAAAGGAACAACCAAGGAATATTACTGCATGCAAGTAAGAGGAAAAGTGCATAGATGGAAGAATGTAATTGCAATGTCTGACACCTTTTTTCCCCCTTAGACAACTTTAAATGCCACATTGCTGGATTAGAAATGGACACAGTCTGAGAAATTATGTTTCCTTCCCAATTATACAAAACACAAGTTTCAAAAATAAAAATTGTGGGAGCTTTTATTTTCAGTCAAGAAAAGATAATAAATAAATAAGAAAACATAGGAATCTAACTACAAAGGGGCAAAAAAATAATGCAGTGCATGTAGTAAGGTTCATGAAAATGACAGTCTGAGCACTGAAACGTGAAGTCTTTTATGTACTGGTACAATACATGAAGAAGCCATGCTGTTTTTCCCATGGTGTTCTACCACCAAACATTATTATGAAGGTAGCTTAGTCTTCCAGCAGATAGGTTCACGAACTGGGGATTAGTGGTAGGTCTGGGGGAGTGACAGACTATGAATGATGACTCCTCCGAGCTCTGAGCTGGGAAGAAAGGCCATAGAGTGACAGAGAAATTCAGCAATGTCTTATTTCTTCTGTGACATTTGAATGTGCTACAAAGATAGCTATTCCTGCTATGTCCCTAATTAAACTAAATGTAATTAAACCAATAAACCGTCTCAGACCATTGTTTCTCTTGAAACCAGAACCAAATCTATGCTGTTCGGCTGTAGTCTTAACAATCCAAACTGGAATTTTATTGAAAAAATGTTTTCCATTCCCAAATACCAAGAAGTGTGTTTACCAGAAGTTGTTACTCAAATAGGACTTGCTCAGTCTAGCACTGGTGATGTTTGCACTCCAAACAAGAATCACGCTATATCTGTTTCCCTACTCCTTCTTTTCCATTTCTTCCTTGCTACAGAGCTCATCAGTGTATGATGCTCAGGCTTCCCCCTTCCTCTCTGTGCTGTAGTGCGCAGCCCTGCTCTCCATACCAGACGGAAAAATGGAGAGAAGCAGAACTTGCCATTTTGCCCATTTGAGAAGTTTAGCTAGCCTAGCCATAAAAGCATAATCCCAGAAACAGTTTTCTATAGAAAATAAACAATTTTAGAAACAAATGCCTTTTTTGACCAAAATCTGAGGTTTTGGTCATAATAATTTGCAAATACTCTTCACTCAGAATATGGTTGCTCCCTGACATCATACTGTCTTACTGAAATTCATGACCTATGCAAAACAGCTTTGGCTCTAAAAAATTCACATAGCTGAATTCACTCCTTATGATATCAGACTGGCATTCTACATAGTGGAATACCGTCTTTATGAACCAACTGAATAGCTCATTCACTCACATAACTCATGCTTTGCACACAGAGTTCTATTAACTGCAGTTGAGCAGCACAATTCCGATATCAATATTCTTGTAATCATCACACTCTGTATATGGGAATCTTTACCGTTAGACAAATTGTGCTATTCCTCTAGATTAGACATACTGAGCATATTCAGAAACCGCAAGGCTCAAGGACACAATGATGTCTACGTGAAAATAAATACCATGGTGAATATCACTGAAAACAGATGTTAATGCTGTCTGTATTAATAGAAATGGATGTTATACTGTATAAAACAACTTGCCAAACTGTAAGGATGGGATGAAAATCATTCCAGATCGAGCAGAAAAAAATTATAAATAAATAATCACAGACAGCAGCATTGCAAATCAATCTGACGTATTTAAATATTTTTGCACTAATTATTCTTCAAAATAGTGCATTACATAGTCAATGAAAATTAATTTAAAGTACAGATGAATGAATTCCATTGCTTCTTAAATAACCTAATTAAGAACCTCATTCTCCACACAGGTCAATTCACAGAATTACATCGTAAAGGCCATACGTCCATGGGATTGTGAACACAGAGTCAGGTCAACTGAAACATTCTGCTCATTCTTGTTGAATAGCTATAATGGTTTCAGTTAAACACAAGCCTAAATATCAGTCTCCTCAAGTCAGGAGCATAAATAAAATATTTTACTATTTTGAATTTTATATGACAGACTTTTTATTAGCGTGAACCAGAAGTGCACATTTGTGGCATTATTTGATAACAATCTAAATGAGCCTTGCAGAACAAGCCATGAAAGATGTTATGAAGTCCCCTCAGAATTATTTTAATTCACCTTCATCAAAAAGTATATAATTTCAGTAATCAGTAATTATTTTCATTCATTTTTTAGGCTGAAAAATATCTGTAAAGTAAAAGAAAATACTATTAATTCTATTAAACAAATAGGATTTCACTTTTCCAAAAGAATATAGAAGACATAAACACTGAATAATTCTCATTTTAAGGAAAATAGCATGCTTTCTGGAAATTCTTAAAACCTGGAGACAGTCATAAGAAAAATAGCTTTTGTATGTTTAAAAGCCTACCCTCTCTGTGAGAAGATATTCATGCTATGGAACCAGTTGTTGTATAGAAATAGGTCTTCGAAATTTTATATCATCCTGAATAAACTGTTCATAAGGCGAACTCATTTTTAACATGCACACAAAACCACCCCATCCTTACTGAAAACTGCTTACTGAAGAAAAAGTATGCATTTGTTTCCTTCCTACATAAATAAAATCAACACAACCTTTTCCAGCACTTATGGTTCAAACTCACAGAAGTAGTAGCACATATCTAATTCTGAGATTACCAACAGAACCTCATCTACTTCCATTCAACAAGAAAACCCACTCAGCTTTTCCCATAACTGTGATTTTTTCCTCTCACCCCAATAGATCTTGCAGCAACTGGCAAGACAATGTCAGCCAACTTGGAGCACAGCTGCATTCTTAAAGAACATGCTTTTAGGAAAGAGAAAACAGGCAGAGGAATTCTGGGTCTTGCTCTTGGTGCTCCTGCATAGCAGGCAGGTAGCACTGCTATGCCACCAAGCTGATAATACTGCAACGATAAACTTTTAAACTATATATGCCTCAATCTCCATATAATTATTTATACACTCTGTGATACATTTCTTATTCTTTGTGTCTGCATGGAGGAAGGAAATAATGATGATGATGATAAAAATGGTCCAACAATTCTTACAAATTTCTGACAAATTTCTGATAGGTCTTCCAGAAGACATTCCTCATCAAACTACCCACGTACAGATTTTAACATGATAAGGCAAACTGCAAAGGAAGCTAAAATCTCCTCCTGCCCTTCCCTTGCAAAAATAAAACTTTAGAGAAT